TCAGTGCTGGCTCTTATGGGCTGAATTTTGTTGTAGTGGTGGACTGCGCAAGGTGGGCGGGGGATTGCCGGTGGCAGGAGGTGGCGATGACGAGGATGGTGCGGTAGTCCACTGACAAAACCCTGCTAGTGTGTGGTAGTGGAGGTCACCGAGGGATGGCATTTCCAGGGTGGAGAGAGCGTTGATGTAGCCGGAGTACCAGTAGTCTGCGCCGAGCATGATTCTGCAGGCCCTCTTCTGTACCTTCTCTAGCTGGAGTTGTTGGGTAGAGTTGAGAGAAGATGACCAGGCTGGTGACGCATACTTCAATTTGGGGAGAACAAATGCGTTGTAGATGGGTCTCGGCTCTGGCGTGGGTGTCCCAAGTGACCTGAGTCGTCGTAGCATGTACAGTCGGTACGAGGCTGCCTTGATTGTGTTGTTTACATGGGCCTTCCAGTCTTACATGTGTGTCTGTATTGCCTCAACCCTGCATTTCTTCCATTGCGTTCATTTTCCAAAACAGGGAGCTGGGAGGCACTGACGATGAGCCAATATCTACTATCTGAAACCTAGAAGGGTAAATGACGCTTATAGTACAGTACGACTTACAGACACAACAGGAGTACCGTAATGAAAACAAGAGTGTTATAATCAACATAACAAGGGCTCTGTTTACTTTCTGAGTATGCAAGGTGGCCATATTGGATTTTATGCAGTTTGAAGCATAGTATGAACCTGTAACTATGTTAGATTGATTCCTTGGGGTCAAAAACATGGGCTCGACATCAAAACAAATTCTCTAGGTGGCTTACTAAGAAAGATATTCTTGATTTAGTGATTTGGCTTAATTTTATGCTAATTAGGTCACTTATGCAAAATGCTCAATATATGCAAATTAGCACCTGGTAGTTTCTAAGCCCTCACAACCAGTACATTGTATTTCCAGAATAAAACCTTATAGTACTCAAAATTTCTAGGTTCACCTCCTTGGCTAGCAGACTGTGGAATAAAGATTTGAAGCAACTACCATAAAGAGAACGTATAGAATTTGTATGTTATGTATTGACCTTCATGCTGTGTGACTCCTTAATTGAATGCAACAATTTTCTGGGTGTAGTGTTTCTGCCAGAGACCTTCAGTGTTCCCTATAGGCTTGGATGGACATAAACAGACCAACACTGATTAGGGCATACCCAACTTTTTACACCACAAACATAGCTACTACACGCACAGCCACTACACACACAGCCACTACACACACACACACACTACACACACACACACACACACACACTACACACACACACATATGAGTACACACACACCAAAAAACACAGCCACTATAAATGCTCACAAAGTAAAAAGTGAGAGTCTAGACTGTTGAAATATTCTTGTTTTGATGTCTATGCAAATCAGTGCAGGTCTAGTGGAAATGATACTTGAGTACAGATTAGTTGGCTAAAACAACCCCAAAGGACCCCAAAGCCATGTGGTAACACGGAAAAATGCACCTATAAGCTCCTTACCTGGTTTAAAGGGCCCGGGCAGTCAGACATTGCCATGCACAGAGTGTCGTTCAGAGGTGCCAACATGTCTGCTACCACTAATACTTCCTTATTGAAATTTTCTCAGAATTTCTGGAAAATTCCTGCTTTGGAAATGATGTTTTGAGGGTCACATTTTCTGGAATATTCAGAGAAAATTTTACCAGTACCCGGAAAATTTCGGGGATGGGGGAGTTTTTTGTCTGGGGTTGAGAGATGAAAGTCAGGAGTATTTGCCAGAAATTCTGAAAAAAAAATTCCGGTACAGTGAGTTCTGCTATAACGTGTGTTTTGATAACGCGATTTATGAATAGAGGAACGATATTTGTATAACGCGAACGCTTGTTTGCTGTAACGCGATTTTTGCTTACTATTTCTCCAATTTTGTGGTATTAACTGTGAATATGGTAAAGAAGAATATCTCCAAGAAGCATTCTGGTGATCGAATTCCCGGTGATGATCGTAAAAGAAAGGATATAACACTTGAAGAGAAGCTCGATGTTATCCACCTCAAAATCACCCTTCTCCCCCATCAAGTTATATTCATATTTTTTCAAGGTAAAGTGTTACATTTACTGTATGATTTCATTATTAGATATGAATGTAACATTTATTTAGACTGTGCTATCCTTTGTGTTAGGCTAACTACTAATTTTTTTTCGATTTCGAGTAGTAATCTGCACCCAACCCTATTTTCTCCATAACCCCTGTTATTTCTATTACACAAATTTCTATAACACGATATTTTACAAGAACACAACTATCACGTTATAGCAGAACTGACTGTACCTGGAAAATTCTGGGGATGGGGGATGATATAATGTGCAATTTCTGGAACTTCCAAGAACATTTTTCTGTGACTTGGAAAATCCCGGGATAAGGGATTTTTTGTGGGTTTGAGAAAGTTAACTCGTTACCCAGAAATCGCTCATTCCTGGAAGTGCTCTTCCCCAATTGTTCTGGTTAGTGGAGATATCACTGTAATAAGTTCTTTATATACACTATGTACACTGCCGGCACAAAGTTGTGTCAGGTAGCGCCCTGAAAGTTTTACTGGGAGATGTGGAAGGGGGGAATGTGGTGTTCCTCCCTTCACCACTCACACTCCGCCTTGTCTCTGTTTTTGTGGCCTCCTTCGTTTTGATTTGCTAGCTGTCAACAGCTCAGGTTATTACAGCTGTAGCACTTGTTAGTTTGATGATCGCTTTCTCTTTTTCTCCCTTTGGACGTTCCACCCTTGATCTTGCTCCCAAATTTCTTATTCTAGTTTTTTTCTGTTCATTTTCTTGTTTACCTATGTTCCTCTTGCTTCACAACTTAGCTACCCTACACTCTTCCCTCCACTTGGGACACTCCCGGTCGGAGAAGCTGAATATTTCTTCTTGTTGGTAGGACATGTGGTGTGTCGGTGTCTGGTTGTCCCACATGTGGCGCAGACCTCCGAGCCCGGCACTTCTTGGCTGCATGATATATTTGGTTTAACTGGGACGGTGTCCCATCCCAATGTAACTGTCTCTGGTATCTTGTAAATAAAACCCACCAGAGCAGAGGTGGATTTTCCATTATGGCTTCTTCATATTTCTCTCAACTTGTACAACACTGACCAGGTCTTGGATCTCCCGTGTCCTCGGGTGTTGTAACTCAGTGTGGGAGATCACTCCACATGCCGAGTTATCAAAGAAATTGACCTCCACCTTGATGGGAACATCGTTGATGCACGTAGTACAGTATTCTTGAGTCCTTCGGCCTGCCCCCAGTTGCCGAAGGTAGCCATAAGGCCACCACTCGGCCACATTCATAACCCCTTCTATACCTGAAGAAGTAAAAACCTTCTTCAGGACAAGGAGGTTCACCTTCTCAGAATGGGTTGAAGATGGAGGATACATCCTCATCCTTCACTTGCTCCCACACGACTTTCATGGCCGAGGTCTTGTCCCGGAATGTAGAGCGAGTGTTTTTGTGGCCTTCACACACTCGTCTATTTATAGCCCTGAATTGCCAAATCATATGAAATGTGTTATTCTACAGATCTGGACCCATAGGAGTCCTTAGCAGAGCCTACAGAACCCGAGCTTAATGTGATGTAAACTATGTCGGTGACCAATTAGTGTATGACAAGGGATGACATAATTTATGTTGGTGACCATTAATGGGTTAATACAGCATATTGACTTGAAGTTTTAGATAAAGAAAAACTAATTCCCAAAAGAAAGCTCGGGAATTAGCAATTTGAATGTACACCCAATGAGACATGAATCTGTCCCAAAGTTTTGACGAGGCATTACATTACTGCAGTGTGAACCGAGGTGGCCACCAGTAATATTGGTGTTCTGGGCCAAACTAAACTTATCAGGAAGATGGTAAAAGAAGAAAAGTTATTTTATACTTTCAGCTGTAGATGTGAACATCTCTTTAGGATACATCTGCACATTTACTGTATGATACTTTATAGTTGCTGGTACAGTGTATTAACCACTCGGAAGACCCACAGTCTATTTAGGGCTCTAATTAAAAATATGTTACATGTACAGAGTTTGTCTAAGGCACGCTCTTCCCACCCAAGAGATTTCTACCCAACTTTTTGAAGGGAAGAACTTTTCTGAAGGTAAACAGATTCTCATATTCCATTTAATAGTACATCTTGCTAAAGGACAAAAGTAGGAAAGGACAGTGGATACTGAAGGCACATGTGTGAGGTATTCTGCCACAGTGAAACTATGCTGCAGAATATCCTATATTAGTTATCTTTCATAAGATAGACTAACAAAGATTTTTAATGTAATTGTGATCTAAAACGCTTATATGCAATAGGGTTTTAGAAATTTTATTCGATAAATTATTTAATCTGCCAAGTATTTTGTGTAATTTTTTTTATATACGGTATTTCAAAAACCTGCAGAGGCTTTACTGCAGACAATGGGAGGTATGGGTACTTTATTAGGTTTACAGATTTCTTGTATAAATAAAAAAATATGAATAAAAAAAAAAAAAAAAAAGGATCTGCTGCCACAGGGTTGGAGCAATGTAGCCATTTTTTATTCCTGTGAAGTGTCAAATTCATTTCCAAGTGTTTTGATATGTATATAATATGTATAATGACATTTGTTATCATAAAAATTATTCATGCCATCCATGCAATTATTTTCCTAGTTATTTCCTGTATACTGTTCTGCACATTGTGTCCACTAATCCTTCTCACATTTACTTCATCACTTTCTTCCTAGATACCCTCTGTGGTTTTAATAGTTCCTGTACAGTATACTAGCACGCACTATTAATATCTAGTTAGCTCAAACCCTTCATAGTTTCTTCTCGATTCAGCTGTGGTCTCATCCAGTCTAATTATTCTGGACTGCATTTTTCACTGCCATTGCCCATTATAGTCTGCATTTAAGTTTTCCCACAATATTTTTCAAAAAAAAAATTTGATTATTTTACATATATTATCAGGGTCAGTGATTGACAATTCAAACAAGAGGAATAATCCATTTATTTTTTCTTAACCATTACATGTGAATATAAAAAGGTAAATCATTTATCATAACTGAATCACAAGGAGTGGCACATGAATGCAATACTGTACTGAAAAAAACGGATTGTACCTTCAATAACAGTTGATTGGAAATACCGTACATGTTCGAAAGGAATAAGGAGTTATATACTGGGATATAATTAAAGTATGACCTCCTACAAAACTTATGATACCTAAAAGCTGATCTTTATACCCAGTCTACATCACTGGTATATTTTGCTGAGGACAACTGCCAGCCAATAATAATCCAGATCATAAATCTTGTTACTCCAGTGACATTTATTTGTAAATAAAACTAATATCCGTCATCTGAGAAAGATATTTTATTATAATCTGGATATTTAGCTTTAAGCAGATCCACAGTAATGCCGTGATCTGCTCGACCAAATCCTTGGGAATAGCCATAAACTAAAATGGTCTTTTTATCTGGTTCATGACGGATCCGACCTCCCCCGACACACTCACAGTCCATTCCCTGCTTCTCAATATCTGGTGTAACTTGCTCATACACATCTGAGTGAAAACCAGCGGATGTATATCTGGAAAAAAAAAATTATATACTGTAAATGAAATTTTATGGCTAAGAGGAGACAATTGACCTAAAACTTACCTCACCAAAGAACCCTCTAGTGGAGCCTGTCTTGCCCACAAGTTACAGTACTGTACCTGTCTGTGGTAGATATCTGTCCTGTGGTATTACTCAGTTAACCCAGAGTTTAAGAAAGACCCTAATCTTAGTTTCATTGAAAGCCAGCCAGTCAATAGGTACAGTACTCACTAGGACAAAACCTGGAACTGGTTCACTTTACTTTAATCCTCCCTCATGTCAAACTTTGGGTACAAAATTAATTCCTCATATTTTCAAAGTTATTAGGTAACCAAAAGAGAAACACGGGATTCACGGTTACTGTACAGTACAGTACTTGCCTTCACTTTGACAAGTGAAATTTCATACTTCACATCAACTAGGGAGTACAGTGCAGTAAACATCATAAGAGAAAGCAAGGCTAACCATAGGCACTCCAGCATAACAATCTGAAGAATACATCACAGGATTCCCAGCTTAGCCAGTTTGTCAGACATTGAGACTTATTTCATTTACTGAGCATTCAAAGTTTCCATGATTTCCAAGACCTGGACTTCTGATAAGAATTTCTTTTAACATTTCAGGTATTGTACACATAAACCCTACCTTACTTACCCTCTGGTTATGAACTTTGAGATTTCTGATCCTCCCTCTGGTGAATGGTAAACCTTCATGAGCACATACTTGAATACTCCATTATCAATGTCTACATTTGCCACGTTGTCCAGGGGGGTAGCCATTGTTTGTTGCTCACAATACAATCTAGAAAAATAATGTTACCTTTACACAATAGCCATTTTAATCAATATCTTCACAGCGTGATAGGAAGTTAATAAATGCAGAATTACTGTACTTCTCTCCTACCCTATCAGTTACCAGTTATAGTAGAACTTCTTAATTAATATTGTAGTGAGCTATCAGTGGCATAACAACTATTATGGGTACAGTACTTCTGTTTCAACAATAACTTCAATATCCATTCAAGTAATAGCAACTGGTAATATTTTTTCAGTAAAATTGCAATACAAATTTACAACTGGTTCAGCATGTATACAGACCATGCAGATATATAGTTCAGCACATACTATACAGTATATAGACAATGTAGTTACTGTACTGTATAATATTATACAGTTAAGCATGTACAGTATATAGATAACACAGGTATAGTGTAAATATAGCATACTGTACTATGCAGGTACATATACAATTCCAATGTACCTAAACAGGGGAGCTACAAATTACCCAAAAGTATAGCAAATAAGGGTAAAATCTTAACAAATATCTGTTATACACACACAAAACATGTTTAATAATAATTTAAGTGTAATTTTGTAAAAATAATTTGCAAGATGAAATAATAAACAGCGAAAAAATTTCAGTATTGGCGAACGCTAAATTCCAAAGAGTTCGTGAACAAGGGAGATAACTCAGATCCATCGTGATGCACTTCGCTAACCTAACCTAACGAAAAGCAAATCCTACGGCTATGTTAAATACCCCAAAGTAACAGAAACATCGGTAATTATATCTCCATTTTGGATAGGTGACTCTTTGGAATTTAGCGTTTTTCGCGTTTATTATTTCATTATTTTGACTACATTTCAATGAAAACATTATTAATCAGGTTTTATTGATGTAAAACATATATTCGTTCAGATTTTACCACGATTTAATATACTTTTGGGTAATTCGTTGGGCCGCCTAAACAGTAAGGGTACACAAACAATGTACCTACACAGTGCAAGTATACAATGTACCTACACAGAGCAGATATACAAAAAATGTACCTAAACAGTGCAGGTATACAATGTACCTGACAGTAAGGGTATACAAACAATGTACCTAGACAGTTCAGGTATACAATGTACCTAGACAGTTCAGGTATACAAACAATGGTAAACAGTAAGACAATTTGATCAAGGATAGCCAACAATTTATTTTTATAAATTATTAGAAATACCATACGTGGTGAACCAGTAATTTTATAAAGTCACTCAGTAAAGGGGGTTTGCAAAGTAGTGAGTGAGTAATTAAAGTACAGTAACTAAGTAAATTATCACATGGTAGGCATATGATCAGTCACCTCACCATGGTAAATATCTGTCATCACACACACTCCCCTACCCTCCATTTTCCCTTGAACTATTGGCACTAATAAAAAATTCCTTCATATAACCTAAAGGTAAATAATTTTCTTGGGGGGGATCTGAAGGATTCTCACCTAACCAACTTATTTCTCTTAAAAATTAACCAACCTAACCTAACGTCACCCCTCATAAGTGCCAGGGTGGTTAACCTTTAGGTGAAATAAGCCGAGGTGGAGATTGCTACAGGTGATCCCCCCCCCCAACCAAAAAAAAAAATTTAAAATTACAAAAAATAAAAAAAATTTTGGTCAACTGATATTGAAACAGTTTATTTAGCCAGAAAAATACAGGTAGTCGATAATATTAACAATATCGACATAATTTCAACCAAACCCAACCTAAAACCATAAAATTAGCTGCATGATCGAAACAATAATAATACCATAATTTTCTATTAGTGCCATTTGTGGATTATCTCTCACAGTTATATGCTGTAATTTATCTTACTCAAAATGAGCCAATCTAAACTACCTAACCTAATATAAATAATATAACAACGTTTATGTAACCTTAAGTACGTTAGGTTAGGTACGTTTGTTTGGTTTACTTAAAAAATGATAAATCATATAGTAAAGCAGCTTCGGTTACTTGGGAAAGTTTCCGGTGTGCCAACAAAGGTAGTCATTATTCCACGCCTTTAAATTGAAGATTACCAATATTCCACAGGTCACCTATATTTGCTGCCCCCAGCCACACCCTGTCTTAACATATATGTCACTAAGTCAACCATAATACTGCATATCACAGCTGAAGTATTACCATTATGTCTACAACTATACACAAAAATATATACGAGTTCATACTGGTCTAACGGGTATATAATACACAAAAATTCAAATACAATTAATAGCAAACATGAAGTAAATTCAGCTTTAAATTTCATGAATTCAACATTGTCATGACCTAAGAAGAGGCTCCCAGAGAAGTCTCTGACTCGTTAATTACGTCAGTCCTGAAGAATTGTTCAACATAAAATAACAACTCGCCTGGCTGCCAAGAGTGAAGGTAGAGGACGAGCCAATGTGAGTCTCAGCCCGGCCAGCTGGATCATCAAACTCAAATAACAACACGGAAGAAAGGTGTGAAGAGAAACTCCCTCCAGTGTGTCTGTGATGTGGTCTTGTCGCCAGGCCCTGCTGCTGCCACCTGGCGCTACACGGCCAACATACCTACATACTTTGGTATATACAGTACAGTATATTCACCACTTCATTATACTGTACCGGTTTATACAGTATATTCAGCACTTCATTATACTGTACCGGTTTACTGTACCAATATTCAGTGCAAATACAATGTCGGAAATCATGTCTTGAATATTGAACCTGCTTTTTATATACAATGATACATTAGTTAGGTAAAAAAACTCAATTTATATAAAAAGGCATCTGGATATCTCAAATATGTACACGGGGAAAATATTAAGAACCAATGTTAGTTTTTCTGTAAATATATCAAAATGTCAGAAAAAATAAAGTAAAGTATAAAGATAAAGTATATTACCCAAAGTAATGGATGCTCGAGTCTGTGTAGTTAATGGTAAAAAATTTTCCACCTGGCGGCCTGCGGGGAAGTTATAGTTTGATTATAGAAAACGTTAAATATTTGCTGCGTGAAGACGTGAGAAAAACGTTCCTCTGTCGACGTGGAAATTGATTTTCGTTTGCAATTCATCATGTAACAATATTGAGGGACATACATTTAGTGTATTTGAGTTGCGTAGACTTTATGAATCTTCATGTAGGTTCAAGAACAGATCCAGGAGGGGGTCCTGGGTTCCGGACCCCCCTTTTTATCAGAAAATTCCAATAATTTTTCTTTAATATAGTATTGAACACAGGCGTTTTTGTAAAGTAAAAGTAATTACTATTGACTTCAGAATATCTCCTAATAAGAAGTGCACATGGCTTTAATGTGGCCTCAAAATGCGCATGATATTGGTCAGATTCTCCAAACCCCCAGCTGCATGGGCTCGCTTTGCTCGCCATATTTCCCCACCCAAAGCTTCTTGGACCCCCCCCCCTCTCTTTTTGACATCCCTGGAACCACCCCTGAGGTTCCAAATTAATACATATATATATTTACTCTGGATAACTCTATCTGTCATTATACTACAGTGACGACCATCATCCAGGGTTTCAGTTTTGGTACAGAAGGAATGCTGTACCTGGTCAAAACATGCAAGCTTTGGTAGAACCACATTGGACATCTCTATTCTCACGTTCAACCCAGGCAGTTATCGAACACGGCTTTAATGCAAGTCACACAGTGAGAGGCAAACGTGATCTGGCTGCACTTCTATTCTTAGTGGTAGGGAGGGAGGATTGATATATTATCTAGGTTAGGTTAGGCAAGGTAGTTTAGTTTGGTTCATTTTATGAACGGCAAATTATATATTGGACCGTATAGATATTCTTTTCTTCTATGACGTTTCCTTTGCAAACTATCTAACCTACTCCCCTAGCCGGGACGTGTTACCAAAGCCATCAGGTAACAATGCTATGCTGTGTATGGGTGACTTTAACTCTCGTCACACAGTCCTCGGTGATGTCCAGTGTAACTCTAATGGGAGAGTGTTCGTGAATTACACCAATAATCATAATATCACTATACGACACAGACAAAGTGACACATCTGATGGGGGGCAGACTTGATTATGTGATTAGGTATAACCAAGTAGACAGTAATGACAAGGCTAAGGTCCTCTCAGACCACCTAGTCAGTGATCATTATGCAATACTTACTGAATACACTGTTGTTGATGTCAAGTGTGAACCCCATCCTAAGCTCAGAATTAACAGCCCAGATAATCTTAAACTGCACTTCAAGGCCTACATCCACATATGGTATGCTGGATATACACCTGGGTCAGTGGATGAATTTTGCTGTGATCTTGTAAATGTCATTACCACATATTATACCTCCTGGGTTAAGTCAAGGAGGAAGGGAGGGCAGCACTAAACCACCTCTGTGGACACATGACCCCATCCTCATCAAAGAAGGAGAGAAGGTAGAACAGCTTGCCAACACTTATAAGCAAAATAAAACTAGTGATAACCTCCTGGCATTCCTCAAAGGTAACAGAGAATTTCGTGAACTCAAAGGTCAGGTGAGAAACACCTATTGGGAACAATTCTTACAGGGGATTAATAGAGCAACCACTCTAGCAGAAGTGTGGAACAAAATTAGAGCCATTACCAAGCCACCCACCCGAGTTCAATTTCGTCACAGCCCTGCAGAATATGCTGACATGCTATTAGATGAATGGTCTAGTGTGTCACGAATCACTTCCCTGCCTCCTGACATACAGCAATATCTTAACACCTCACACATTAATAGGGGTTTCAATAGTGAAATAGCCTGTTCCTCACCAAACCTTACCGACCAGGTTCCTATAACGCACCACGAACTAACAACAGCCCAAATAAAAGGTGAATCATCCTCCCCTGGTGAGGATGGCATAACCTATAACACCCTGAAATTGTTAAATGAGGTCCCTAACTATCCACTGCTTGACCTGTATCAAATGAGCCTCACACCGGGTATTCTGCAAAAGACATGGACTCAAGGAAACATAGTACCAATCCCTAAAGCTAACTCTCCAAACTTCAGGCCCATCTCACTCACATCCTGTATGTGGAAAGTCCTTGAAAGAGTTGTTCTCAACCATCTCATGTTTCAAGTCAAATACAAACTGGCCCAGCATAATCTGTATAGGTTCATGCTTGGGCGCAGCACACAGACATGCTTTGCAGAATATCTTGTTCACTCAAAAGATAAGACACAAGCAGCCTTCATGGACCTTAAATCAGCCTTTGATGTAGCTAATAGGGACATTATACTTGAGCAACTAGCTAATTTTGGCATCCAAGGTCACCTCCTGACATGGATAAAGGTTATCTGTCCAACAGGTATGCCAGTGTTCTGTTTAGGGGAGTCAAAAGTAGCAGAATGAGAGCATTTGAGCTTGGCACGCCTCAGGGAGGAGTATTAAGTCCTATGCTCTTTGATATACTGATGCACAAGCTTACTGCTGACATTCCAGTTCAGCCAAACGAGGCTGTAATATGCTATGCTGATGACATCTGCATTATGACACAGACCAAACTCAGGCTCTAAGCCTTGCTGGATGTATTTGCTCGGAGAACTGTTGAATGTGGTCTCATAATACCTGTTGACAAGACGAGGGTCCTCAATCCTCGTCCTGCTCACCCTCTGCCTCTTGACTTTAACATTAACAGTATGCCCTTGGAACTATGTAGCTCTTATAAATATCTTGGAATTTGTGTGAATGATGCAAACTTTGTCGGCAACCTTTGTGCCAAATTAATGCAGCGCATTAAACCCCTCAGAACCCTTGTTGGCAAGGGCTATGGAATTAACATCACCTATGCCTGTACTTTCTATCTTCACTTCATTCCTTCTGTAGTTGACTATCATGCTCTCCATCTTGTGACTATTCCGCCTAAACAACTCAACAGCCTTGAGGTAGTGTAAAATGAAGCCATCATTCTAGGATGCCCCAAAACAATCAGAATTGTAAACATGAGGAAAGAGCTCGGGCTGCCTTCCCTATCTGAGAGGATAGCTCTACCTAATACCATGTTTTGTGTCAAAGTTTTGAAGAATAATGGTCCCCAAACTACAGCTCAAACTGAGTTGATGTTCTGTCTAAATAATCCCGACCATCTCGCTAAACTTCCACAAAAGACTCTCTTTGGGGCGTGGCTTCATAAAAGTGTTGCAGATCTCCTGAAACTGAATGTCCCAATCACCCCAGACGAACCCATTAATGCCATTCCTCCTTGGCTGGATATATCAGTTCCTATTAATTACACTCCTGTTGGTAGTAAGCAAATGTTAAACACCGATGTGATGAGATGTGTCACACTAGAAACTATTAACAGACACATAGAGAGTATTAAATCAAGTTAATGTTATGCTTTTACTGGTGCTTCTGTGCAGACAAACATAGGTAGAACAGGCTGTGCAATTGTAATATTTAAAGAAAAAGAGATGATAGTGTCAAACAAGCAAAGGCTGAACAACTGGGCCAGCACAACACAAACTGAACTAACTGGAATCTACTTAACTACAGACTACCTTAAAGAAAATGGAGGTGGGGTGATATTCTGTGACTCTCAGAGTGCTTTGAAGTCAGTGAACAGCCCGTCAGGTTCTATGTCTAAAGTTATATGTGATATTAAAACAAATGTGATAACTGCCAATGAGAACAACTCTCATATCGAATTTGTGTGGATTCCGTCCCATGTTGGAATTAGGCATCATGAATGTGCTGATAGATTCGCCAATGAGGCATGTAAGAAAGAAAATGTTGACCGTGACCTTGGCCTGTCCAATGCTGTACTTAAAAACATTCAAGTCAGAATTATGAACTCTGATCTAGAAGAACTGAAAAATGCAGAGAGACCTGGCAGTTGTAGCATTAGTAAATGTGACAAGAGATACCGGTATGGCCAGCATAAGGACAAAACTAGACAATGTGATGTAATCGTGGCCAGAATTAGGCTAGGATACAGACACATGTGGCAAGTTAGTAACGCTGTACCCATACCGGAACACTCAGCATGTGCTTTGTGATAAACCTCTAAAGCATACACTTGAACACTATATTATTGAATGTGACACTGTCAAACACTTCAGGCCACCTGGCTTATTGTATCATGTACTTTGTAATTACTACATTGAATCAGGGGTGCTTGAGGACATTCTTGCTGTTTATCCCAAATTTGCTAGCCCACACTGATTAGTCCTAAATTAGAATATGGCATCCAATGTATATGAGCTACTGTCCTGCATGGCAGTGAACAGTGACATCATCCATATGACTCTGACCTACAGTATATATAATGTTAATGAATATGATGTATTTCTTTGTGTATGAACCTCTGTCCTGCATGGCAGTGAGAAGTGATACCACTCTCAGTGTCAAGACCTGACTGAATTACTCAGAATAGGCAAACTGTACTCCAAGCTTTGTCAATAACTTTGTTAAATTAAAAAAATTAAACTAGCTGGGAGGGGATAAGGTGGTGCTCCACTGCCTGGACACACTGTGGGGTATGAGATATTGGTTCACACTCAGGATGGGATGGAGAAAGGAAACTCACAATGTGCTCTCTGTACAGTATACATATTGGATTGGATGTGCAATGCAGCTTGGTGCTGGGAAGTGGCAGCGTGGTTACAAGCGTTGAGTAGAGAGAGCTGGTTAGTGAGGGTGCTCAGAGGAGGACCAGTTTGTGGGTCGCCATGGTCGCCAGGCAGGAGCGGAGGAGAAGGTGTTGCTTGCTGGTGGCTGTAGGTAGAAAGAGATAGGTCACCACGAGGTGAGGTCTTATATAGCGGAGGTAGGTGTGGCTTAATAGTTGACCTCTGTGGTGTAAGGCGGCGCTGGTTGCTGACCTAGACCACGAGGCATACACTGGGGAATTCGAGGGTCGGCTAGTCAGCGACAAACAGCGTTTGTAGGGGAGGAATCCACTACAATACTCCCGCTTCCCTCCAGGCGGTGTAGGAGACTTGTTGTCTGCAGGGTTGCATCCCACATGTGAAACAGAACGGCAAGGGCGTGGATGAGCCGGCCGCTAGGGGAGACAACTTTGTCTAGATACACGAGATCTGTGGGAGAAGAGAGGGAGAAGGAGGGTTGTGAAGGCGATGAATGTTGTGCTTCCCTCGCAACAGGTACAGAGTCCTCAGATGCGCCTGCTGGGGTGTGTGGGTCTGGGTCAGGAGCAGGGGCTGTGCGTCAGGAAGAGGGTTCATGACAGCAGCAGGGTTCATGAAAGCAGCAGGGTCCACGACAGCAGCAGGGTGCTGGACAGTAGCAGGGAGTACCTGAGGGAGAAAAAAAAAGGGTGTGTGGGGCCGCGTCAGGCACATGGGCCGCGTCGGGAGCAGGGGCGGCCAGGCAGGAGAGGAGGAGGGTATGCATCCGGAGGAGGGTCCAGGACAGTGGCAGGGGGTACTGCTGGGCCGGAGGCGGCGTCTGAGGCAGGACGGGTGTGCTGGGGTCGGTAGGACGTGGTGTTTGGGGCAGGAAGAGGAGCGGCTGTCTCCTTAGAGAAGCAGTGCTGCTCTAGGGTGTCTAACCTGCAGTGTAGAGACAGTAGCTGTAGAGCCGATGAGAGCTGCTTCTGGGTGGATAAGCCAGTCTTCCATGTTGCTTGAAGACTGGGAGAGTGATTGGTTTCTCCTCCATCCTGTGTGAGTGGTCACTCCGAGGGTCACCATTTGTGGGGTATGAGATGTTTGGTTCACACTCAGGATGGGATGGAGAAAGAAAACTCACAATGTGCTCTCTGTATACATGTTGTATTGGATGTACAATGCAGCTTGGTGCTGGGAAGGCAGGATGGTTACAAGCGTTGAGTAGGGAGAGCTGGTTGGTGAGGGTGCCCAGAGGAGGACCAGTTTGTGGGTCGCCATGGTCGCCGGCTGGAGCGGGAGCCGCCAGGCAGGAGCGGAGGAGGAGGAGGTGTTGCTTGCTGGTGGCTGTAGGTAGAAAGAGATAGGTCACGGCGGGGTGAGGTCTTATATAGCGGAGGTAGGCCTGGCTTAATAGTTGACCTCAGTCATGTAAGGCGGCGCTGGTTGCTGACCTAGACCACGAGGCATACACTGGGGAATTCTAGGGTCGGCTAGTCAGCGACAAACGGCGTTTGTAGGGGAGGAATCCACTACAACACCGCTCAAGGCCCCTACATATTAGAGGTTGTTTGCGAGAGAAACGTCATAGAAGTGTCTTAGAATTGTCTAAACTATTGATAGCAAAGATAAAACAACCGAAATTTGGTTGGTGGTATCAAATGCAATAATACCAAGATTAATACTGTAGTGACTAATGTAAACACCATAAACTTTGTGTGTGTGAAGGGGCAGCATGGTACCAGCCAGCGTTCCCACTTCTGGGGAATTTGTCCCCAGATTGGGAAATCTGGACGCATCTGAGGAAAAATCTAGGGAAATGGGCTTTTTGGGGAATTTTGAATATTTTGGGTAATAATTAGGGAATTTGAGTGTGTTTGGTTTATATAATATCAATACCAGGTCTCTGAGTCAACATCTTTCCTGAAAACATGAAGAGAGAAAGTATTGTGGGGCTACTACATGGAAAGGAAGGATTGGCATCACTTGGGATACCTGTTGATCAACTGATCATCCAAAACTGCTGAAGCTTGTGCTGAATGTCAAGAGCAATGCTTCCGATCAGAAGCTCATCAAATCATTGTTGATATACTCAAGTCCTAACTCATAAAATATCATAAACTCTAAATAAAATGTTGGAATCAAAATTACTTTTTTTAATTAAGTAGTGAATTTGGCATACATTTATGTTTTGATGGATTCTATACCTTAGATTAAGTATCGGTAAATACTCGAAATGTTAGTGGAGTGTGTATTCTTATCAGAAAAACCAAAACAATAATTTTATTTTGTTTCTGCCACAAATATATTAACCAAATATTAAATAATAATGATAAAACAATAAAACTCTTACCAACAGAGCCTTTAATATATGTTCAAGCTATTTCCACTTGGACATTGAACTAAAATACATAAAGGAACTACTCTTTAACAATGGTTTCCCTAAGAGATTTACAGACACTTATATTGGCAAAACCCTTCATAGGTTTTTTAGTCCCACACAGCCTCAAATCCACACCGTCCCTATATATTCTATCTATTTCACCATCCCGTACACAGGCCCACTCAGTTTCACCCTTAGAAATAAACTTGAGAAGCTTTTCAATGAATTCTATCCACAAATTTCTCTTAGACTAATCTTTAAAACCCAGAGTTCAATTAAAAAATTCTTTAAAATTAAAGACACCATACCCACACACCTGCAATCCTCAGTTGTTTATCAATTTACGTGTGCTAGCTGTAGGGCAGTATATATAGGTAAAACTAAAGACACTTGATAACTCGCATCCATGAACACTTGGGCCATTCCGTTCGAACAGGCCAGTTAATCACACAACCACCACATTCAGCTATTCGTAACCACACCCACCAACATCACCGCCCGTTTTCGCCGTCTGATTTCTCAGTTCTTGGCAGGAGCGACTGTGAGACGGACCTCCTCATTATGGAGGCATTACACCAGTATAAAGCAAAGCCATCCCTTTGTGATATGGCTTCTAGTGAATTGTTATGTTTTTCACACTAAGGCTCGTCTGAATTAAGGTAATAACCCCCTCCCTGTATATTTTATTTCATACTTTTTATTCCTGATTTTAGCTTTGTATGTAGGTCTCTTGTCGGGTACGGGATGTTGGTTCACACTCAGGATGGGATGGAGAAAGGAAACTCACAATGTGCTCACTGTATACATATTGTATTGGATGTACAATGCAGCTTGGTGCTGGGAAGTGGCAGCGTGGTTACATGCGTGATGTAGAGAGAGCTGGTTGGTGAGGGTGCTCAGAGGAGGACCAGCTTGTGGGTCGCCATGGTCGCCGCCGCAGGAGGAGGTGGTGTTGCTTGCTGGTGGGTGTAGGTAGAAAGAGAGGTAGGTGATGATGATGATAATGGAGATAAAATGGCAATGGTTTGCCATGGGAAGGGAGAGAAGAGAAGAGGTAAGGTAGAAGGAAAGCTATGAAACGGGAAGTAAAGTAGTAGAGAATAAGAGCAGGTGGGCTATCTACCGAGCAGAGACGATTTGATGGCTGTGGTGAAGGCCGCACTAAGGGGTCGCCCGAGCTCGAGGGAACAGTGGGGGAGGAGGCTAAGCTAGCTAGCAAGGGGATGTTTGTTATTGTGTTAGTTGGAGAGGACTGCTAGGTCCTTGTGTAACTAGTAGAATACTCTCATCTTTTGTCTACTGTTTAGTGTACAATAGTTCTGGCTCTTGAGGGTTATGGAGAAGGCTTTTTGGCCACCAGTTGTGTGATCTTGTGGTGTCCTCTGTTTTTAGTCATTATATATTTCGTCTTCCATTACTTCTAGTTTGTGCCAAACTGCCTGTGCTTGGCTGGCTGTTCTTATGTTCAGTGGTAAAATGTTGTATTTTTCGTGAAGCTCTTTAATTTTGGTTGTATAGGGGACGTTGTTTGGAGGCTCTGCAGATGCTTTGTTTTGTGTTGCCTGGAGTTTTAATTGGTTGGTAAGGCTGATCGTGTTTAATGGTATTGGCGGGTATTCAAGATGGGGGCGGACAAGTGCTTTAAATGGGTGTAGTTGTATTTTCTCTTTCATTTTGCCGAATCTTCTTAATTTGGTAAGCTGTATTTGGGCTAGTCTATTGCCCTCTGTTATGTGTTTATTTATTCCTGTTCTTGTTATTGTTAGCCCCAGTATTTTTCCTTCGTTTGAGTATTTTATTTCTTCGTTGTTTACTGTGATTGGTGCTGAGTTTATCCTTGAAATGTGTATGATTTTAAATTTGTGTTAGTTTTTATTTTCCATTTCTTCTCGTGTGTGTGTATATATATTTATATATATATATATATATATATATATATATATATATATATATATATATATATATATATATATATATATATATATATATATAAATAATCAAGGAAAGAAGAAACACTCACCCCTGAAGATGAATAGCGCTTGGGAACTTCTGTGTTTTTCTTTCCTTGTGGTTATCAGCATATACCTGGATACTGCACCTACAGTGACTTGTGTATATATATATATATATATATATATATATATATATATATATATATATATATATATATATATATATATTGGGGAATTGTAATCCTATCTAGGGAATTGTTCACCTTAACTGGTGGGAACACTGGTACCAGCAGCCACCTGGCGCCGTGCTGATGAATTATTGATGTAAACAAAAGTCAAGTGTCGGTCCTGCAGGTCACCATCACGTCACGCCTGCAGGTTTTATTGATATTTGGCCGTGTAGCCGCTTTTATGAGGTAATATTGATTAGATGTGAGCTTGAAGGCTTCCTCGAAGAGGTGACTGTGTTGAAATACGTGTGTGGGTTGAGGTGTCTGTGTGTATCAGTCAGGATAGATCGATGGTGTCATTGTGTCAGTGACACTAGGAAGATCAGTAGCACTCCGGCTCTGGTGCTTGAGGGAGGTACACCCTCCACACTTCACCTTATCAGCTTAAAACACGGATATTAAGAGTAACATTTGTTTTAATATTTTACATTTGCAAATATAAGTGGTTGTCAAACATTGCCATATACAGGAAACTTATTTAACGTGAGTGGAAACATAATATTAGTTGGGAAACTTTTTACAATGTCTGTTATTAACCGGCTAATTTTTGCAGCAGACACCACTAAATACAAATTGGAGGTTATTGTTTATAGAAGAGTGGTAAGCTTGTATTTAATGGGCATAAAAATATTAGCACCATTGTTGACATTTGGTGAGACCTGGAACTTTCTGAAGTACTGTACTAGGTACAATATAGTACTTACACAGGGGTCTTCCCACATCGTCACCAAACCGTTTCGTCACCACTATTTTTAACCCGTTTCGTCACCACTGCTTTACCCTTTTCATCACCACGTTCATTCCCATCAATATATACACGAAAATAACTGTTCCTTGGGACATAAAGTAATAAAAAACACTAAGTAGATAGTAGGCAGCTACCAAACAGGGAGGTACTACCGCCTGGGAAGATATTGGAAACATAATGTGTTGTCTAATGGTAGACCCTGCTGCCATATGGCATCACGAAAATTGTGACCAAGTCCTAGGTTGCTGATCTGACTTTCTGCCTCATTTACACACAATTGCAGGGTCTCAATTGTTTCTATTACATGACAAAACATGCATATACAGTATAGCGTTTCTCGCTTGATTTTTTTTCATTCTTGCATTTCTTTGTATTTATTATTATCAGTGTTATTATTATTAATACCATCAATATTTTATTTTAGTTTTTATTATAAATTTTATTTATTATTAATTATTATTATTATTAAATTTTCGCCCCCCGGGCCCTGATGTGGGTCAGTGACCTGTGCCCGGGTGGGCTAATCCCCATAAGAAAAAAGACAATTTATTAAAGACGAAAATAAAAAATAAAAACAATGTTAATACGCCTGCAATCATCTCGATGCTCGTTGATATATGAACTGGCTCGTTGATATATGAACTGGTACCAAATCACCTTCATTTGATCTGTATTTTGTATATTTATCAATGTTTTAATTATTTTCTTTATTAAATAATTAATATTCATATAATAATAACACAATAATTTTCGAGTCTGTATGTGTAATTTCTATTCGTGTAAAATAATAACTTGCAATGTCACTCACACCAGCGACTGTTAGTGACGAAACGGAATTGATATTGGTAAAGAACCGGGTCGATGACGATGTGGATTGTTGACGAAATGGGGTGTATCCCTTACTCATCATAAAATTTGGTGAAGGTTAAGTTTCGGACCATAATCATTCTGGAGATGAAGCCTAGGTTTTTTCCATGTTATTTTGTTTTATTCGATTTTAATATTGATTTTCGTCGGAAATCACTCGTTTTTGAGATACTGTGGCCCCCTCTCCCCCACAGCCAAAACGAGTGATTTGAAAAAACTGAACAACACTTAAGCCATGACGTCACGGTTGACACGTGGATGAAGAGCGACCCGTGTTCAGGGGTAAGATGAAAAATAACTTAAATTTTTTAGGTAAACACGCCCCATATCTCGGTTATTATTCATTTGCGACGGAAATACCATAGAAGAAATGGCATCTACTTTTATGAGTTAGACCTAAAAAAATAAATAAATATGTAGCTAATTATGGTCCGAAACTTTACTAATATCTAAAATTTATCATTCATAAAATTGAACCAAAGATAATCTAACCTAAATTGCCTAATGTTGATTAGGTGAAGCTAAAGCTTATATAGATGAGTCTGTTATACAGTGTGAACCAACCAAACCTTACGCAAAATATTTAGGTTAACCGAGTTAAGATTTATTTACACACTGGATGCAGGTATGGCAGCTGTGTTGATGGACTGTGTAGTTAATGGTACTGTTAGGTTAGGTGATCATTAGGCTGCCTTACCTAATATCTTGTGTGATTTATTTAATACCTTCAGTTGTATAGCTGTTGATATTTAAGTATGCTGTCTTATTTTCTTGCCATTTAATATTATCTGGTAGGAATATCAGAGCCAGTTAAGTAGACTGTACCCGAGTCACGACTGTCCAACTTACGAGCACCCGCACTTACAAACGAGATCCCAGTACTTTCATCGCCAAAATTTGTACTTGCTATCCCATTTTTTACATTTTAATTTTTCTATATTGTTTAATATAATTTTATTTACAGTTTTTGCAGTATTTTGTTTTTGGATGGGATGTTATTGGTTTTGTGTGGGTAAGTTTGTGCTTTAACCTAACCTAACCTCTGGAGTTAACACTGTTCTGACTTGCCAACAAATCGACGTATGACATGGTCCAGGAATGTGTCCTGTCGTAGATCGGGACTGCCTGTAATGTGTTTCTGACATGCAGTAGACATGCATGTCTACTGCATCTGATAAATGCTAATTATTTGTTACTTTCAGGATTTACAATTGCATTAGAATTTAACTTTGATTTTCTTATGTCATTTTTCTCTACTAAATATAAGTATTGAATTGAAACAGAATTGAAACGGTTTATTTAGACAGAAAAACAGATACACAGTGGATAATAATAACTATAACATGGCTGAGCCAGTTGAGAACATGAGCTCTCTTTTAGGAACTTGATATATACAGGTTGTACCTCTCTAGTCCAGCATTCTGTGGTCCGGAAACTCCCGTGGTCCGGAACGATTTTAGTTTGTCCAATAGGTAGATAGGCAGCCATTTTTTTTTTACTTCTCTCAATTATTATCATTATTACAGGAGTATTAAATTTTTGCCCCTCAGGCCCTAATGTGGGTCAGTGACCTATGCCTGGGTGGGCTAATCCCCTTAAAAAAAAAAGCCGTGGGAAATTTAGGTTTGTTTACATACGGCAGTTTGGCTGCACTCTCTCTCTCTCTGCTTGTCTATACAGAGTACAACATTTAACCCTTCAATATATATGAGCAGTAAATAAGTGTTGCTTTCATATTCTTATGTAGAGTAATGATGATATATTTTCACATGTGCGCACTTACATACGAGCAGTCTCACTTTTTTTTTACCATTAATGGTTAGCTACTTATATTGTTCCATTTATTAACATTAAATAACATTACAGGTACTTCAAGCAACCATATTCATTTTTTACATTAATTTTACTGCAGCTAAACTCAGGGTCTTATTTTCTTCAGTTTTATATGTAGAACCAATCAGTCACTGATTTCGTAAGCTTTAACATAAACAATGCCGGCAGCCGTCTCGTCTCCTCTAATATTCCACGTATTATTAATAAATTGTATTGTTAATTTTGCACACACGTACATTAATTCAATAAAAACAAATTCAGAAACATTAATTAAAATATATATGAACAGTAAATAAGTGTTGCTTTCATATTCTTATGTAAAGTAATGATGATATGTTTTCACGTGTGCGCATGCGCACTTACATATGCGATCTCTCCTTTTCTTTACCATTATCGTTAGCTACTTCTATTGTTCCATTTATTAACATTAAATAACATTACTTAAAACAACCATATTAATTTTACTACAGCTACAACCAAGGTCTTATTTTCTTCAGTTTTATATGTAGAACCAGTCAGTCACTGGTTTTGTAATCAACGAAAACAATGCTGTGTCATTTCCTCGTGTGTTTTAATATTCTACGTATTATTAATGAATTTTATTGCTCATTTTGCACACAAACATTAATTCAATAAAAAATACATTCAGTAATAAACAATAATGAATCTTTTGTACATAAGAGAAATGTCGCTGTTTACATGATTATGCACGTCGTCTGCACGTTGGCGGGCCGCTCAAACCCGTCGAAATTCAAGTTTCCGCCGTCAAAATTTTTATTTATTTATTTTTTTGTTCCAATAAAATACGTTAAGAATTAAAAACTCGCGAAATTTGAGAAGCTGCTATACGACATTTAACCCTTCAATATGTCTTCAAAGAGACCATGACGCAGAGAAAGTGGTGCTAGTGCTTCCAGGTATAAGCACAAGTCACTATCTATCCAGGAAAAGGGTGAATTTCCATGGTCCGGCAATTTCCATGGTCCGGCACCGGTCAGGTCCCGAGGTTGCCGGACTAGAGAGGTACAACCTGTACTATATTTATCATCTGGAGTAATACAATAGCATGGTGGTAATAAGAACATCTTATAATGTTACCACAGTTATCACTTCAATAGTTAATTTTTTTTAATACATAAATTACAGTGGAATTGAAAAACAGAAGTATAATGGGAGCAGTACAACATGGGTTGTACAGTAATAAGGGGACAGAGCTGTCAGGATTGTCTAGTTGGCAAGTATGTTTATTGCAATGGTAATTACTTATCTATTTACATGAAAATTTACGATAAAACGGTGGTTGATGGTACAATAAAAACAGGTACTGTAAATATAGTAGGTATTACAAGAAATATTAATACTTAGACAATACATTGATCCCTCGGTTAATGAACGCTTCGGTTAACGAAATTTTGGTTCACGAATTACCTTCCATAAGATTCTTCACTTTGGTTTATGAAAAAATTTCGGTTAACGAATTCCTTACAAATTTTCCCCAACATGTTTTCACTTGCATTCGGCTGCTCACCAGCTGTAGTATTAGTCCGCCAATACAGTAATTGGTTCTAGGGCTTAAATTCGTTACCATTTTAGTAAATAAGAAGGTTGTACTATTCAATCATTTTAAAAGATTTATACTTTTTTAGTCATTTTAACAATTATTGAACATAATTGAAGTACAGGAAACTAGTTTTTTGTGCGCCAAACAGCCACTCAACACACCAAGCTTGGCGTCAGTTTGTTTATCGGTTCAGAGGAAGGAACATCTTGTTTGAGACTTCAACATAAACGCTTTTTTCTGTGTTTCCAGTCAAATTATTGGTCATTTTGAAATTTATTTTACATATTGACAATGTACAGGTATAATGCAGTACAGTGTTGATTTAAAGAAAATAACCTTGAATTACACCAAGTGAAATAAAATTTTTTAGGTGAAATGGCAGCATGGGGTGACTTCTCTTTAACCCTAATGCCTTATCTTCTCCCTTCTCCTCCACCCCCACTTTTTTTCTTCTCCCTTCTCCTCCTCCACCTCCCACTTCAAATTCACATCAGCATCATCAACCAGGAGCCTTCTACATACACACTTCAAAGTAAGTGTACTTGACTGCATTTTTTTTTACTTTAGGTTATTTTTGGTGAGCTGGAACCAATTAACCAAAAACCCATTGAAACAATGGTTTCGGTTAACAAAATTTTTGGTTAACGAACAACCTTCTGGAATGAATTGTGTTCATTAACTGAGGGACCACTGTAGATATTTTTGAGATGATTTAAAGGAAGGGAGCATAGTCTTTGCTCGGATGGGTGGGGGTAAGTTGTTCCACACCTTCACACCGTGATATTTTATGAAGGTCTGGGACTGAGAGAGGAGAGCATGGGGGGTGGTCTTAGTAGATCTGGGTGCCTTAAGTTGTATCTGATTATTCCGGAACTGGAAATAATTATTGTCAAGCGAGTGATTGATAGATTTGTAAACAAAGAGGGCACAGCAGTAGGTGTTAATATCTTTGAATTTTAAAATTTTCAATTCAGTATAGCAGATTCCTCGTTTGTGTTTTTTATTCATGTAGGTCATTGTCCGTACAACTCTTGTGCAGTAACCAGAGATTGTGTTTTTTAAGAGCCAGAAGCCCCTTAGTGTGTGACAGTGTATCAGGTGTTGGTAGACACGATCATGATAGATTTCTTTCATTGCTGTGAGAGTGAGTGACTGTCGAGTGTGATACATGATTCCGCACTGTTTATTGACTTTACTGTGAATGGCTTGTATGTGGTTTCTCCAGTTAAGTTTCTCATCAGCAATAACTCCGAGGAATTTAGTATTTTATTCGCGTTTGAGGACTGTATTACCAAGGTACAGGGGGTCCAAGTCTGGGGGTAAGTTTTTCCTTCTGTGAAAGATCGTGTAGTGGGTTTTCTCAAGGTTTAAGGTCAGCTTATGTGTTACCCAGGTCCTGACTTTAGTCAATTCAGTGTTCATAGTTCTCTTCAAGGAATGGAGGTCTGAGTTGCTGGCATAGAGATTACTATCGTCTGCAAATAAGTTGTATTTTATGAGTGAGCTGGCGTGGACTATGTCATTAATGTACAACAAAAACAGTACTGGACCGAGAATGGAACCTTGGGGGACTCCATATGAGATTGGCGAGGAGTCAGGTTGGTGATTATTATAGCAGACATACTGTGACCTGTTGGACAGGCATGAGGTAAACCAATTGTGGGACAGGCCCCTAATGCCGTAATGTTCAAGTTTTGAAAGGAGGGGGGTATGGTCGACAGTATCGAAGGCTTCAGAGAGGTCCAAGAATATACCGAATGAACTGACTGTCATCAAAGGAATTTAAGATGTCATTAGTAAAGGATAGCAGAGCACTCTCAGTTGACCTTCTAGCTCTAAATCCAAACTGGGAGTCTGTAAAGATGTTATTGGTATTGCAGAAGGAATTTAGTCTATTACATGCTACATTCAACATCTTTCTCAAACATTAAGAATCTTTGGTTTTTAAATATTTATCACTAATTACTGTACACTCTATGCATTAATGTCTTTCTATTGATTGTTGTCCAACTTTCAGAGGATGCATTCAAGAAAATTTATTGTTAAAGGTTGTCAGTCTGTCAACACCCTTAAGAAATACTCCGTAAGTGACAGAGGAATCTTGGATAAACGAGTGAAGAGTAATCCACGTTATACTGGTGTCCGCTCTCGTACAGACACTGGCTTCAACACTCAGCGACGACAAGAACTAGAACACGAGATACGAAAGTATTATAAAGTGAGTGTTAGTTACATGTCCGTACTGACTAGTATTTAGGGCTCTTTGCTTCTCATGAGATACAGTACAGTATTCAGACTTTCATTTATTTTTCTCTATTTATCTGCAATATGTCGACTTAATGTTTAATGAATGAGGAATGTCTTCCTTGAAAATGAGAATTTGTTACTATACAGCTCAGCGCTTACAACCAGTTTTCTGCGCAGGTTAGAAATGACGAAGTTTTCCGGCGCATCTCCCTGGCAGACATGTTGCAACTGATGGTGGCACATGCAGAAGATGTTGAAGCCATTGAATGCATTACTTGTGAAAGTGAAGTTGACAACAATGAGGCAGAAGTTCCTCTCAAGTATAGAGATGAAGTTGATTGTGTGGTTCATAAAATGGATCAACTTGAGGTATGCTAAAACACTGACTTAAGGCGACGTCACACTGGCATTCTTTCGTAAATTTGTTTTTGTTAACTTTCAGAAAATCGTCAAACTTTTTGTTTTGCACCATCACACGTTTGTTTAGAACCAACTCGCCAGTTTCCCTCGTTCGACGACTGTCAACAAACAAGATGGGTCCAACTGATGAAGAAATTCTACACCTTTTTTGGTGTATGAAGAGTCCTGGTGATCCCAGAGACAGCCTTATCTGGTCCACCAAGAACTCCCTGGAGAGATGTGTCCACACTTAGGAAATTATTTTATCTGTTGGCTCCGTCATGTTGTTATTCCCGCGTGGTCAAATGTAAACAACAAATCGCATTTTCTTACCATTTTAAAATTGGAAAATAAAACATAATCATGAATAATGTTGGGAAGAGTAATAATGACTTCATAATAATTTAGCTTTATATTTTAAGTAAAATTTAGTTTACTTTTTATAACTATTTGTAGTATCAATTATAGATCTTGAGTTGACTCCGGTAAGTTGTCGTACGAGTCCTCAGTGCAGACGGTCTGTACCGTTTGACAGAAAGCCAACTACAATGCCAACGATTCATGAAAAAAATCTGAATAATGAAAATGTTGACGATCGAAAGGCTAGTGTGACGCCGCCTTTATAATAGAGATGTAGAGTGTCATCCACAGTAGGTTTTAGATATCATGTTACCAATGCACTTTAACTTGTTTACTTTACCTTTAATGTCAAGAAATACTTCTGGGAATTTTGTATTGGTTTAAGAATAATTTTATTAGATGAATACATTTAATCTTGAATTTGATTGTGTTGTATTATCTTGTAGTTGATATATTGCTGCATGGGACAATATTGGGACTTTAATTTCATAGTGACTCGCCAAGAGTAAGCCGACTACACTGTACTTATACACAAATTGGGATGTTTTGCTTTCACTGGATTTGATTTTTGACGAGGTTTTATCTGAAGAAGAAATGCTGAACTTGATCATTTAACATTTTATTCTTTCCATTGACATCAGATCAAACTCTGAGGTACTAAACACAGTGGAAATAGCTTGTCAGTGTCATGCCACTACTTCATGCAGTGAGCCATGATTACTAAAACACTACAGTGAGCCATGATTACTAAAACACTACAGTGAGCCATGATTATTACTAAAACACTACAGTGAGCCATGATTACTAAAACACTACAGTGAGCCATGCCATAAAACACTACAGTACTAAAACACTACAGTGAGCCATGATTACTAAAACACTACAGTGAGCCATGATTACTAAAACACTACAGTGAGCCATGATTAAAACACTACAGTGAGCCATGATTACTAAAACACTACAGTGAGCCATGATTACTAAAACACTACAGTGAGCCATGATTACTAAAACACTACAGTGAGCCATGATTACTAAAACACTACAGTGAGCCATGATACTAAAACACTACAGTGAGCCATGATTACTAAAACACTACAGTGAGCCTAAAACACTACAGTGAGCCATGATTACTAAAACACTACAGTGAGCCATGATTACTAAAACACTACAGTGAGCCATGATTACTAAAACACTACAGTGAGCCATGATTACTAAAACACTACAGTGAGCCATGATTACTAAAACACTACAGTGAGCCATGATTACTAAAACACTACAGTGAGCCATGATTACTAAAACACTACAGTGAGCCATGATAACTAAAACACTACAGTGAGCCATGATAACTAAAACACTACAGTGAGCCATGATAACTAAAACACTACAGTGAGCCATGATAACTAAAACACTACAGTGAGCCATGATAACTAAAACACTACAGTGAGCCATGATAACTAAAACACTACAGTGAGCCATGATAACTAAAACACTACAGTGAGCCATGATAACTAAAACACTACAGTGAGCCATGATAACTAAAACACTACAGTGAGCCATGATAACTAAAACACTAAAACACTACAGTGAGCCATGATAACTAAAACACTACAGTGAGCCATGATAACTAAAACACTACAGCCATGAGCCATGTACAGAGCCATGATAACTAAAACACTACAGTGAGTGACTAAAACACTACAGTGAGCCATGATAACTAAAACACTACAGTGAGCCATGATAACTAAAACACTACAGTGAGCCATGATAACTAAAACACTACAGTGAGCCATGATAACTAAAACACTACAGTGAGCCATGATAACTAAAACACTACAGTGAGCCATGATAACTAAAACACTACAGTGAGCCATGATAACTAAAACACTACAGTGAGCCATGATTACTAAAACACTACAGTGAGCCATGATAACTAAAACACTACAGTGAGCCATGATAACTAAAACACTACAGTGAGCCATGATTACTAAAACACTACAGTGAGCCATGATAACTAAAACACTACAGTGAGCCATGATAACTAAAACACTACAGTGAGCCATGATAACTAAAACACTACAGTATTTGTTTTTTATTTTTAGCTTAGTACTGTTTGTTGTTTTTAGCTTGTCTTCATAAACTGACCAGTTACTGTACAGAAAGTGAAGCCCTGATATGCTTGTGCCTGCACCTCGCCATCTTCCAGTGCTGTGAAAAAGCAAGAAAAAAAGTTAGTAACATCGGATTTTTTATTTGTAAATGAGAACATGGAAATTTTTTTTTGTAACTTCAGATTTTCTTAAACCATATCTTAGTGGGCATGATGTCAGGTTCAGCAAGATATATTGGTGGGCGAGGAGATATCACCTTTATAAATACAGTCTCTCCTCGACTTAAGACATGTGCGACTTACGACAACCCGGACTTAATACAGTCATTGTCGTTATATTACATTAAAATATTTTACATTATTTTCGAGTACTGACATTTGGTCGTAATGTCTAACGATGCCGTACGTAAACTTCGGCTGGCACGCTGCCCCGTGTGTACAGCATCCACGTTGTATCCCGCTCATTTTGTGTATTAAAAAGGTAAAAGTTTTACAATTATTACCTGTACTATGTATTATTTTCCTCGGTTCAACTTAGACTCGACCAACTTACGACCTGGTCTTCAGAACGGAACCCCGTCGTAAGTGGAGGAGAGACTGAACTGTATTGTCTGTACTGAGGCATTTATGGCAGAATAATTAGCGATTTAGTATTACCTGTATTCAATTTTGTTCATCAATTTAGTCTCGGCTGAAACTAATAATCCTGTGATGAGGAGGAGTCCATCATCGTCAAGAAATCCCTGAGTCAGTCATTGTCTGTGTTGATCTCTGTGTAGACACATCTTTTTAGCATCATAGTTCTGTTGTAAATTATTTTTGGATGAACCTTGGTAAAAATATTCTCATTGTAATATCAGCGTCGATTTCACATGAATAATCTGAACTTTTATGGCCTCGTAGAGTGACTTGAAGATGTCGGTCGTCTTGAGACATGACAGAATGGTTTTAGTGCTCATTTCTTGTATCAAGACATTATTCATGGTTATTATAATACTGTACAGCAAATAGTTGAGGAGTGATATGGTAGGTCATACCAGGGTGAAACTATGAGAAAGTTTCTTTATGCCATTTGCCTCTTGTCTACCCAGCAGAAATTGGAAACCTGGATGTTAACTGATTTGCTGATTGTATTCCGGATTAATGGTTAGCAAGTGCAGTTGGCGAGTTGTCTGGTCATTTTGGATTATTCCTTGACATTGGGTCATGCAGCTCGTTAACTCGGGGTGCGGTTGTTTTGTTGGTGACAGCTTCTACACCTTAAACAAATTCACAGCTAGGTGGCCCAAGGGCCGGCTAGCCTTGTTACACGAGGGGCAACTATTATTATTATTATTATTAGTAATAGTAGTACTGTAGTACCAATGATAGTAGTACACACACACACACACACACACACATATATATATATACATATGAACACACTGTAGTATATACTGTATATAAATAAAAAATACCTTTGAAATCTTGGCCAGGTTATTAATAAAAAAAATTTTGTACTCAGGTGGACAGCAAAACAAACATCCCACAGTGTCCCTATGTCATGATTGATGTCCGTCCACAAGGTGAATTCAAAACATGTCATCTCGCTACTGCTGTGTCCCACCCACACTCTCGCTTATCCAGAGCTGTAGGCTGGGAATGTCCAGAACTTCTAATATACAAGAACCATCCAGAGTTCATCATCATTGTTTATGATGAAGGAGAGGACCTGGCCCCTGAGGTTGCAGCTACTCTACAGCACCGTGGGTACGGTAACGTCTTCATGCTCAGTGGTGGTCTCCGCCTCGCTAAAGATAAGTTTGGCTTTCCATTAGTCACTGAAAATACTGCAGGTAGCCTCAGTTTTCAGGTTGTTGATGCGATATCTCAACAATTGTCAAATACTGTGTTGCCGCCCCTGAGCATGGCAGATGCATCAGAGTGGTGGGCAGCTGCCTCCAAGTTACCTAACTCTGCTACGGACTCTGGCATCACCCACACAACTCCCTCCACTGGTCGCCAAACAACCAGATCACAGATTAAAGACAAAGATGGTCAACCAGCCAGACCCTGGCGATAATTTTCCTTTGTTATGAGGAATCCCACTCTGTGAAATAATTGTTCATTGTTTTTTACAGATTTAAATGAAGGTAATGTTAAAATTTATTTTTGAACTTTGTTAGTTTATGGGTTTAGATGATTTACCATTATGAACTATTTATTATGGGATGTTATTTATGGAGTACATTTTTTTGTTTTGTCTTGGCTTTTATCCACAAAATTTTTATAATTGGTTTTATTATGGTTGATAATTTTTTTTATTGTTTGACTTGAACTATTTTAGGGTAGTTATTGTCTTTTTTGTAAACAAAGTAATCACAAAATTGTTTTTGCAAGGTTTTGTGGATTCTTATTTTGAAATGAAAAAGAAATGGCCTCTCTCTCCAGTGTAAAAGTTAGGTCTCTGTAACATGGGTGAAGGAACAAGTCATTATTTCACCGTTTGTTTAATTAGCTCAGTAACTTCTTGGTTAAATGTCTAAAAACTGTTGCACACACACACATATTGCTGAAAAAATAATGTTGCTGTGCATGTTGCACAATAATATAATTGCTGGTACAAGCTAAAAAATTATGCTCAAATTTAGGTACCGGATGCCATGGTGTGTGCGTGCGTGAGTGCGTGCGTGCGTGCGTGCGTGCGTGCAAGAAGTTAGGAGTTCACTTTGGTGTTCATGGTTCAATGCTTCCAGTCATTACAGTCTCAGGTGGTAGTCACTATTACCAGTGAGTGTCCAGCCCAAGGTGCCAGAAGAGGTCCAGTTACAACATAAGTACAGTACAGTACAGGATTAACTTTATTGTATAACTTAACTTTAGTTCCTGTACTGTACTGTATTCCAACAATATTTATAGACTAAATTATACTTTATATTTATGACATGGCTAAACCTCTCGGTGAGGAAGCTCCAAGAGGTGTTCATTTGGCTTATTATAAACCAGTATCCTATGAAGGAAGCTCCAAATCTCAATCGTTACAAAGTTATCGCGTCACTATTTAACACATCTACTACCCCAGTCTTTGCTGATGGACTCGGGGGGCCCAACCGGTCATTTTGTCGCCATTTGTCATTTTTTGTTTCCTGTGGAAACAAACATTTGGAACATTACAGTACAGGTATCTTTAGTTATACGAATGGGTTAGGTTCCTCAAAGACCATTCATTAAGTAAAATTTTGGTAAGTGAACAAAAGAACATATGGGAAAAATAGGGTATGGTTGCTAATGACAATAAAACCTCAATGTCGTACCTCAAAAACATGCAATCAGTTCACTAACAACAAAAAACCTACCTGAGTACAGTAAAAACTTGATTAACTGACTTTCTGATTAACCGACTTTTTGATTAACCGCCGATCCCGGACCCCCCCACCCCCTTTTTTTTTTTACAAGGATTAGCCCACCTGGGCACAGGTCACTGACCTACATCAGGGCCTGGAGGGCCTCTCCTTCACCCCATAAATCGACTTAGTCCACATTCATAAAACAAATTTCAGTTAACGCATAACTTGACTACAGTCCTTTGGGGTTTGAATTATGGGCTGGCCCAATAGATGCTGCCACGTCGCGGCGACTGGAGCTAGCTGTAGCTCCCGCCATCAAAACGTGCAAACATTTCTATAACTTTGGGGGCCCACTGATGAGTTTGACCTGGGGCCCACAAGTAGGTAAATCTGGCCCTGATGATGCTCGTTTTGGAGCGTAACCTCATTAAGTTCACTATAATGTCACCTCTCATTTATTTAATCAAAATGAAGAAAGTAAATGTTACCTTCCTCTTTCTTAATGGCGGATTCTTTAAAAGTTTTTATAGACTTCTCTGAGAGGCCGTGACGTCGGTAAGAGTGGATGCGAGGTTGAATCCTTTTTAAGAATCTCTCCCTCATCCCCTGCTTGGTACGATCTACAATAAAAAAATATTTTTTTAATATTTAATGAACAGGACAGAAAATGATGAGTGAGTAAGTTTGACTACCCAACATTAAGAGAATGGGTTATAAACCGTTTTTCAGACCACATCAACATTGCCCCCTGTAATAAAGTTGTGCTACACTTGAACCCTTATCTTCTACCTTGTTATGTGTCTGTACATATGTGATGTTTCTTATCATTGGGTTTTGTTTTGTTTGGGGTTATATTATATTAATAATTTTCTTTAATCCCTTCACTTACGAGAACTTTTTTTATCCTCTTCGCCACTGATCGGCTCGTTAGCCGCTTGGGCGATCTGTCACATCTCTGTCACGCACTGTTGGCAAATACTGGGCATGCACTGGCTTCTGAATGTACCTGAACCCGCTCCAGTGTTGGTCAAGTCTTGTCTTGAAAGAGCTCACACTCGGTACCATCACAACACTCTCGGGTAGATTGTTCCAAGAGTTTACAACCCTCACTCTGAGAAAGTTTGCCCTCACAGTTTTGTGGACTTGCGGCTTCTTCAATCTTGAGCTGTGACCCCTTGTGGGGTGAGCGTCCGCCAGCTCCAAGTAAGGACACGCGACAGAGTAGTGCCCCCCTGAGATGCTTATACTCCTCGATTAGGTCCCCCCTTGTCCGTCTGTAATATAAGCAAGGCAAGTTCAGGCGCTCCAATCTCTCAGGGTAGCTGAGGTGCCGAAGTGCAGGCACCAGTCTGGTAGCCCTCCCTTGATCATTTTCAACCAAATGACAGTCCTTAGCATATCTCGGGGACCAGATGGGGTGACAGCACTCCAGATGGGGAAGCACATCACTCTTGAAGATCGCTACGAGGGACGGACCGTCTAGATATCTGAACGACCTTCTTATAAGACCCAATAATTTATTTGCCTGGTTTACCTTCTTCTCGCAATGGCCCGAGAACTTTAGCTCGTTGTCAACATACACACCTAGGCCCTTCTCACGGTATCTGGTAAATTTCTCGAAATCAATTGCGCGAAAAATAATATTTCGAACGATCAATTGCTTGAAAGGCAGATTGCTCGAAAATAGTGGTTTAATGAAGAATACCCAAAAATACGATAAAAAAATACAACTTTATTATTGTTAATTGAACAGTTAAATTAAGAACGGGTACATTTCTATTATACAACTGTTCTTAAATATTCTTCTACATTGTTTGTTTCGTCATAGTTTAAAATAAGAACGGGTACATTTTTATTATTTTTGTTGTTCTTCATACTTAAAAAAAATAAAATAAAAATGTATTATTGCCAATATTTACTCTTATTAGTATGAAATATTGTATGCAACGCTTAAATATTCTTCTACTTTGTTTATTTCGTCATAGTTTGATACAATATTCTTTAACCGCATTGCGCAGTCACGGTACTTTTTTCTGCCCCCAGCTGTACTGACTCCTCCCACATGTTGTTCTATTTGCAATTCTTGTAATCTTTGTTCTCTCTTTAGTACATCTATAAACTTATAAATAGACGGATGACGAGCACTTATTTGATGTTCAAAACTGTTGTGCCACCCTTCAATTGCATTGTTTGTTTTTGACATTCCTTCTACAATATTATCAAACAGTTCCACATATCATGTTTAAACAAAGGAGCACGTCTATGGCTGCCTCTATACGGCCGCCCAATCCACGTGTCTTCAAAATAATCCACTACTTGAAGTTCATCTGGAAAAATTTCATTTTCAACTAGAAATTCAAATGTTTCCACAACATTGGGTACAGGTATAAATGCCAACGCAGATAAGAGACAAACATTAAGAGCATATTCAGCATTGGTGTCGTACATTACCTTAAGGCCACTTGCTTGAATTTTTCGATAATGGCTTTGACTGAAATGAAAAAAACACCCACTACATTTAGACATTGGAAATTCTTGTTCTATGGCCTTAACCATGGCAAGTTCAAAATCAATCATTATTGTCAATGGCTGGAATATAGGGATTTTTTCTTTAAGAGCCTTCAGGAACCTCTTGTAGGTTTCTTCGGTTTTGTTAGGTAACAGTGCATATACGAGGGGTGTAATATTACCTGACTTCACACCATGTATTGTATACAGTTGACCAAAAATCAAAGGCACAGTTTTAAAAGTTACATCAGCGTACCAGTGCTCAGAACGTGCTAAGATAGCGAGATTGCTTTGGGTTGCAAAAATTAATATACGTTCATTTGTGGGACCAGTCATAAATAAGGAATAAATCTCCTTTGATGGTTTTGGTAAACTCTTCTGGGATGTTAAGATCGAGGTAGCTATTAGGCAAAGCAGGTCCAGTATTTTTCCTTGCGCGTATATTACGTATGGTTCTTTTCATATTTGATACTGAAGGGAGCTTCACCGCTGCAGCACCATTTACTTCCATTGAAGCACATGATACAATATAATGTGGTGTATCTTGACTATTTATAGCATGTTCTTTCACTTTCTCCATGGCTTTAGCGGCATCAATTTCAGCAGCGTCTCCTGCATGGTTGTGATTCCCACTTCGTTTCTGGATACTATCGTTGACAGTGATAACATGTGCTGAACATTTCATTTTTTTGCACATTTTACATTTCCAGTAAATCTTATTGTTCACTGTTTTGTCCTTAATATATAGATATCTATCCAAACATAATTTCTTCTTTCCTTTTTCGCTCTCAACAAAAATTATATCCATCTCTAGGGTTCGAGATTTCCAAAATTACTGAAATAGAAATGGAAAACAAATAAAAGAAAAAAATTGAGTATTTAACAATCAGGAAAAATGAACAGTAGTATTGTAGGTTAATGGTTGGTTGATGGAAACAATTGAAGTTTTTTTGATGTTATATTAATGTTAAATCCAGAAAATGTACAATATCAACAATAGACAATCCAGTGACGAGTATTAACAATTAAGGGAAGACTGTAAGGCAAGTCAAATGACAATGAATATGGTTGCTATGGGAAGAAAGGACTCGCCACATGCCACCGTGTGGTGAGTCAGCCCAGAGAGAAAGCCCTAGAAGACTGACTGCTAAGGTGTGTGTTGAGGCTCCTTATATAACCCGCTACGTTGACGTGTCGTTAGACGGCGCAGTGCTCAACTGACGAGGTGCTTTGAACTGCTACAGTATTCAACCGTTAAATAATTGATTTCGAGCAATTTACTGTCGAGCAATTGATTTCGAGAAATTTACCTAGATTCGTCCAGCAGGCGTCACGGAAGCGTTGTGTGTGGGGACATCTTCGGAGGTAGTGGATAAGGGTGCTGCTGTCGGGTCTTCTGCATAATGCACAAGAGCGTTGCTCGGGATGCGGGGATACCAATCTCTCAAGCAAAGTCATACCCAATGATGATACGGGCTGTATTTCATTTTAGAATTTTTTATTTTCGCATTTTCGACTTAAGACCAAATCGACTTATGACCCGGTCGTTGGGACAGAACCTACGTTTCTTCTAGGCAGGACACCACATACTATCGGGATCCCTCCCCTATCTCTAACCTTCCCTAGCGCCTCCCTATACTTCTTGAAAAGTTTCTCGCTCCTAACCTTTCCTATGTCGTTACCTCCTACACTTAGACACACTACTGGCTTGGTACCCTCTCCTGATAAAACCATATCTATCCTCTGAGCTACATGCCCTATCCCAGCCCCAGGAGAACACACCCTAGTCCTATGTTTCCTATCTCTTGTACAAAAAGTCCCATCTAAAAACCTCACCTGGCTGTCCCCAACTACCACGACCTTACCACTGGGCAGGGTCTGAACAACTGCCCTTTTCTCTCCTGGCACCACACCGTCCTGCCTCTTATCTTCCTCGCCAGCTTCTTTCAAGACTTGGTAGGAGTTACTGCACGCCACACCCTGGTAAGCTTTCCTGAGTCTGACCCTAGTCCCCTTGGGGACAACCACTCTCCACCCCTGCTCCTCCTTTGCAGGTGTCCTGCTAGGCAGGACACCAACCTGAAGGAGTTCAGTCTTGAGGGCTTCGCTCTCCCCTTTGAGCGTGTATCTTGCTCCTCAACTGCTCCAGCTGACTTAAGAGTGGCCAGGGGGTCGTCTTCCCTCGCACACCGTCCCTCTTCCCCCACAACGATCCACGGCGGCCATTTCCTCTGGTCACTAACA